GACCTCTAAGGTCATCAAGTCCAACCGTCAACCCATCACCACCAATTAGGGTGGCTTTGCAGCTCAACATACCTAATGGCACCTGAAGGTGGGGAGGTGGCAACGGCTCTGACCTCCTCCAGCTGCCCAGGAGGGGCTGGGCAGGCACCGCTGCTTTCTGGAGGCTGGGAGGGGCTGGCTGACCCGGGGTGGTCAGTCTGGGTTTAGACCCAGCAGCTGGGCCTGCCTGGGGAGCGTCACGGTGGCCTGAGTGCACGCGCTGCGTGCCCTGCTTCTCCCCGCTCTGTTCACCCTCTAACCAGGCACAAGGAATCGGGAATTTGCACGGAACTGCGAGCGCGGAAAGGAGCAAGAAGCTCTTGAAGGACCCAGCTGGGACGTATGGGAAGAAAAGCAGTTGTGACCTGAATGCATTCATTTGCAGCAGACAGAAACCAAACTTTTAAAGGGGATACAGGTACTTGGGCTTTCAAAGGGGCAGATTTATCATCGCTGAGAAAATTAGAAGAAGGAAAAATGTAAACAGAAAACCACAAATAAACATTAGGACTACCTTTAAAACAAAATTACTAGGTTTGTTTTTTTAAAAAAAGCCTTAATTCAGCAATTGTCAAAAAGGATACTGAGAGCCGTGGACTGATGACGTGACTTTCCAGTGCCCAGGATCTCCTGATAACTTCTTATTTCCTGCCATGGTTAAAAACTGTTTCTTGGCTGCTCTGTACCCGCTGGTTTAGCTGTAGGAAACCCTAGCATCCCCGCAGCTCTGGCGTGCCCTTGTACCCCTGGAGCGTAGGGCGGAAGGCAGCCATTGTGAACGGCTTTTTATTCAGTTTTATTCCGACATGCACTGAGGTCGTGCAGGCTGCTCTCTGCACCTGCTCCCGGAACGGACAGGGGGTTCAGCTCCTGGCTGCAAATCCAGCACTTGGCACAGGAGCTAATTTCACATTAAATTAATGGCAAAAACTAGGAGATGTTGAGCCCGTTAAGAGCATCCTCTGAAAATTTCAAGGCCCTGTGGGATCTCCACCTCCCCCCTTCTGTTTGCGCCAGGTTCCCCTTTCCCAGACTCCAGCTGTTCCCAGCCGAAGCCGAGGAGCTCCCCTGATTATCACCTTTGCCGGGATGTGGATTGGGCATCCGACTTTCCACTTAGACCGGCAATTAGGAGGTTGCCCTGAAAGGCAAAGTGTCAGACACTCTTAGTAGGAGTTTGTGAAATGCAAAGGGAAAAAAAAAGAGGGAGAGGAAATAAGGTCTCACCAGCAGGGTAAAGCCACAACTTCTCATAGATTTTGAAAGAAAATAGGAGAGCAGCCTTGGCTCAAATGAAGCTGTGGAAGGGTCAGACAGGGCAATGTGACTCAGCTAGCAGTGGCATTTAATATGGCTTAAAACTTTTGTTGTCTCTCCTAAAATGTAACGATAATGGAGAAAGTGCTGCTGTGCTGCCCAAGCTTCTCTCGTAAGAAAAGCCTTCGTGAGCCCAACAGATTTCCCCATGTCCAGCTCCACTGAATCTCGCAGGACCTCACGGATCGTCTTGCGAGCAGTGCCGTGAAGGCAGGTCAGAGCCCACACTGGCAATAAGCTTTGGCCGGGACACGCTGCCGCTGCAAACGCTGAACTTCGAGCGTGGGACTGACAGGGCTGTCGAATCCCTTGATACGAACACCACACACCTCCTTCTCCCTGAGCACCACATGGGTGCTCCGTGCTTTCACTAGTGCAGAAGGATGCCCTATGTTTTAATGCTGGTTTTGCCTTAAAACACCTTCACATTTTTTTTCAATAATTTCTGCTTATATGTGGTTCATTACACTGCTGCATTGCTCTTCCTTTCTGTTGGTTTTTTTTTTCTTTTACAGCACAGCATAAATGTTCATGCTGAAGCACGCTGCTGCCAGGTACGTAAGATGTTCTGCCTTTCCTCAGAGACGGTGGTGCCGCTCAGACGGAAAGGTTAACATGACAGCTTGACAGCCTTTGTCTGTGTTACAAGTTGTACCGATATAAAAGCAGCGAGGTAGCACGCAGAAGGTATCACAGCAAACGCAGCCTGGATTGAAGATGACAGCCCAGGAGATAATTTCCCACAGCACGGGCCAATGTCTGAAGAAGCCTCGGGTGTGGCAGCGTCTTTCATCCACAGCCTTCTGCCAAGGAGCCTGTGCTGCAGGAATCTCTGGAGCCTTCCCCACATCAGCCCGACCTCCAAGCCTGCTGCACTTTCACTGCAAAGCCAGCCAGAGTTTGAGGAGCAATGTCCCGTCCCCACAAAAGCGGGGAGTTTCAATTCAAATGTGGGTTAAAAACTAGCCACAGCATCCATCATACTGAGACAATAGCACAACTGGTTAATTTTTAATTAAGCAGCTGAATTTTTCAGCCACTTTAACAGATGATGGTGACGCTATGCACAGAGTGAGGGTAGGGAGGGTCTGGGCAATGCCGGGAGGCCCCGGGAGGCCCCATGCGCGGCTGCTGGGAAGGGACCTGTCCCCACAGACCCACCGCTCGCTGTTGTGTACCTCGTGTCCCCAGGAAACCAGAGCAAAGGGAGCTGGACGTGAGGTGAGGGGAGCCGGACGCGGTGCAGGATCCCGGCGGAGGGGAGCAGAAGAGGGCTGAGCCCTCGTCCACCCCGCTGGTCCCAGTCCCGCATCCTTGCTGCAATGCTCCGCTCCCCGATGCTCCACTCCCTGCTTCCCACAGCAGCCTGGCCCCAGTTTCTCCCAGAGCTGGGGGATGATATCCGGAGTCCAAGCGCTGGAGGCTGGAGGGAAGCCAGGCTTAATGCTCTTCGTTCTCAGGCAGGAAAGTTCTCAGGCAGGAAACAGTCCAAATGCTTTCTTCTCCAGGAGCTGTGTGTGTGGATGAATCCTCCGCTTTGTTCTTCGTGGTGATAGCTGAGCTCATGGCCTTCAGGCTATGCCCTGCCCCGAGCTGGGTGGAGAGGAACTGGGGCTGAATGCCGATGCCGTTAAGATAGAAGCTACATAGTCATGAGAAGGAAATGGCCAGAGATAGACCCAGCTCATCCAATTCCGATTCCAGGAACAGTAAGGCAGGGGGCTGTAGCCCAGTGCTGGTGACTGGTGGGTCCGTGCTTCTGCCTCTTTTTCTCCCTTTAAAGCTCTTCTTTTGCCACAGGATTTACACAAGTGAAAGGTACCAGCCTACCCACGGGCCAAGGTGACAGCAGGGATACCCGGGTGACCTCAAACCTGGGGTCCTGCAGGGCAGCAGGGACACTCAACATCTCAGCATTCCTGATGAATGACCTAAAGCTGTGGCAGAGTCCAACGGGTCCCTCTTTTCACCTGGTCCGTGGCCCACGGCCACCCTGTGTAGCCAGACAAACTCCTTTCAGAGTCCTCCCACCAGCAGCGGGTTCAGCCAGAGATGGACAGCAGCCACCACTTCATCCCCAGATTCACCGGTATCTCCGCAGGTTATGAAGAGAGGAGAGGAGTCTGACACTAAGGGTGGAAATCATGATCATTAGTGACACCCGGGCCAACAGTTCAGTACAGTTCAAAATGGGATTAAGCCACATTATCACTGCTTTTCTCCAGGGGGTGTGTTGGTCAGATGTCCGTAAGGAAGGGTCAGGGTTAAAAAGCTTCACCCGGGAAGGGAGGAGCAGGGGGCAGCTCCTCTCTACAGCTCCAGCTGGTTGCCTGCAGGCTCTGGCTCTGCACTCCTGCAGCTCACAGGGAGAGCTTCACCTCTTTCCTGTCAGATACATTTCTAGGTTTTCTCTTTAAGCAAGCATTGGTTTAAACTCTGCCGCAGCTCAGGGAGAAGCGCTGGCGGTGTGGGCTCTGCTCCACCTGCCAATTCCACCCAGTCCCAGTCCCTGCCTGAGCAGATGAGCTTTACCAGAAGCAGTCAGGGTCACCCAGGTAACTGAGAAGAGCTGTTGCTGTGTGTATGTTTATAGGAGTTGGGCACTGGGGTACATTCAGAAATATGACAGATTTTTTCTCTCCACTTTCAGACATAAGAATAAATATAAGCAAACACATGGCTACTTTAATAATTGTATTTTATTGTCTCCTTGAGTTTGAAAGCACACAAAGCTTGGAAAATATCCCTAAATTGAAATAACTGTAATACACAACCAGAGAAATAAGGGTCTGATTCTACAAACTGTTACTCGTGAGCAAACTGATGTTCTAGTATTCCCGCTGACTTCAGGACTCTAAATTCTGCCTAAAACTGTGCTAAGCCCATGGTGAAGGGGCCAAAAATATAATCCTTTGAGTTACAGACAGTATTTTATGTACATGTATATATGCATATGATACATATGCATATATACATGTTCCTCTGAGCTCTAGACAATATTTTATGTACATATATGTATGTATGTAGACAGTATGTGTATATCCAGTATGTACGTAGACAATACATACATATATTCTTATACTATAGATATCTACATATGTGTGTGTGTGTGTGTGTATACAATATATACATGTAAGTGCTTCTGCTCTCCAATTCACCATAAACACGACTTGGATGGACAAGGACCAAACCCAGGAGTCTCAGAATGGAAAGCTGAACTCGTGCACTACTTCTTCACCTGGTGATGGTCCCTCCTCCTTTGCCTGTGGCGGTTTGCAATACGCCGGGGTGGGGACTGAAATGAATCGGATGCAGCTCCATCAAATTCAATGAAATCTGGCCAGCATCAGGGGGGCCCCGAGAAGTGTTAGGCTCCATAGGTACCCCTCACATAGGCAGGTGGGAAGACAGATGCTTCTCTGAGCCCATCTACACGCACAGTGCCTTTAAGTGCACCCTCTCTGTAGGGCAGCGGGGTGTGTGGGAGACCCACAGCCCCAGCCGCTGCTGACTCCTGCAGGTGGATATCTGGGAGTCCCCTCAGACCTTTATTTCTGGCCCCAGGGCTGGGGACCGGGGTGGCTCTGGGCAGGGCTGTGGGGAGTCGGGGGACTGGGAGACATCGCCGGCTGGCCACCCGCTCCTCACACCAGCGCCCTGCTGTCCGTGACGCAGCTGCACTTCTCGACGATCATGTTGGGAAACTCGGCCGCTTCGATCTCGGTGCGGTTGCCCCTCTTGACGAGGTACATCACGGGGAGCGGGGAGCTCTGTGCCAGGGCGCAGGTGCGCTGCCCGTAGCCGAAGCGCCGCACCGGGCTCGCAGGCACCCCCCCGAGCACCGGTACGCCTGGTACCCTGCCGGCTCGATGATCCAGTGCTGCGTCCAGGTGAGCTCGCGGAAGCTGATGTAGTGTTTCTGCCGGCAGCAGGTGGACTTCCCCGTCACCGCCTCCTCCTTGCAGTCCCCAGGGCCCCTGCACACCAAGGGAGGAACAAGAACCAATGCTGTGACTGGAAACCAGGAAGGTGGGAGAAACAGTCCCCCCTCTTCATGGCATAGGCGGGCCCTGAGATGTGAAACTTGGGCCACAGTCCGGTTTCTTTTGAATATTCGGGCACCAAATAGGGGTAGAGGAGAGGAGTGATTCAGCAGCAACTTTCTAACTCACTCCTCTGTTCACAGCAGTTTATTGCAAGGGCAAGAGCTGCATGCCCTGGGCTGGCACAGGCAGCACAACAGCTCAGGGGCAAAGTCACACTGAGACCGTACAGATTCAGGTTTCGTACGTACCCATAGTCTTCCAAGTCGAGGGTGTAAAGCACCAGTTCGGGTTTGCCTGCAGCTTTATCCCTGGGGTCCTGCGAGGTGAAACGCACCGCTCTGGCCATTTCTGAGGCATGGCTGCCTACCCTTTCGCCTTCAATCCAGACCTCCAGGAACATTGGCTCCCGCCTCTTGTTTCGCAGCCAGTAATGCACGGCCTGCGTCACGTCGAAGTTCTTCCAGCCCGACTCGCGTATAGGGACCAGCCTGCACGACAAGGGCTCGGCATTAGAGAAAAGTCCATCAGACAAAGCCCGGGCTCACAGCGCTGTTATTGCAGCGGAATCAGTTTGCTTCCCGGAGACTGTCACATGCCTTGATTACACGATAATTTTTGCTGAGTGCTTTGGACAAGCACCCATGGCAATTAACTCACACTGCAAAAAGAAGCGTGCAGATCTAGCAGACACTGAAGGGCTAAACAGAACTCTTTGTGCATGCTCACGTCAAGGTATTCATTCATGCTCATACAGAAATATGGCAGTGCGGGATTATGTGCAGCCTCAGTATTCCTGACGACAGCCTGGCAAACACCACTACTCCCACCTGCTCCTGTCCTAGCTGCATTAGGGCCCTAAGTTCCTACCCACCCAGAAAATTGGTTTGAAGTCTAATTCTGCCTTCAAGGGTTGTAAAACTTCCACAGAGCTCAAGGCTATAGAATCGGATGCTTTTTGCATAATTTATTTATTTAAACCAGCTAATGAAATGGCCAATGGAAAGAATACCAGCAGCCTGTACCCACTGTGAGTTAGGGAGTGAGAGAAGTGAACGAGGTGGAGAGTTTTAAAGGGGAATACCTAGCAGTACATGGCACCATTTGACACAGAAATTTCAATGAATCATCATATTTCGCAGTCTTAACCTAATATCTGCTCTTACACATTTGTTCTGGGTTTAGAGGCTATGGAGCCTGATTCTACAGATGTAACCCCATCAGACTGACCGGAGGCACAAGCACAACACCCGAACCCGGCCCAGAGGACCCGTACCCCGTAACCAGATTCCTGCCTCCAGGAGAGGTCCGTTTCTTACCGGGAGTCTACCAGGGAGGTCCTGTTGGTACCATCCTGCTGTGGTTGCACCCAGTACACGCTGACTCTGGCATTGGAGACGGGCCTGTGAGACTGCTTGGCAGGCAGGTTTGCTCTTTCCAGAGGCTTTTTGAAGAGTTTCAGTTCAGCCATTGTCACTTCGCTGTTTTTAGGTATTCTGCCCTCCATGTCAAAGATCAGCTTCTGGCGCGTGGTGGTGTCAGAGTAGAGGACTTCTCCTGCCATGCCTGGGCTCGTTGGGAACAAGAAAGAGAGTCTGTCATTGCCATCCTGGCAAGCAAAGCCCCCACACTTCACGCTGCCAAGATGAGCCCTTGTAGCAGGGACAGCCACCAAATGCACCCTTTCTAATGCATACTTTAATCAATGTCTTGCAAATGCCCTAATTCTTCTCCTACCTCTGAGTCTCTGCAACCTGGAGTAAAGAAATCTACTTGATTTGACCCCAAATAGAGCAAACCCTGAAAGATGCCCATCTTTTTATGCCAGCACTGGGCATGAAAGCAGGAAATGGCACGCTTGCAATAAAAAGGTGTTTTCATTTGCTGCCCAGGGTGCTATGTCCATCTTTTGAAACTGAAACAAGCATTAAGTGTCCTTGTACAGACACCATTGTGTCTCTACAGCTGTTTTCCTCCTCGACATTTATTCTAGGAAAAACAAAACAAAACAAAAAAGACAGGAGAGAGTGAAACATCCTCAGAGAGGTTCGATTGCTATTAGAGGACTTTCCGGAGTTCTGACCAAAACACTGCAATGTCTACACTTTCTACTGACATTTATTTTCTACATCGTTTTTCCACCTGCCCAAAATGTTGCCTGGGTGCCAAGGCTTTTCTCTGCTATCAAGCTCCAGCAGCAGCCCGCCCTTTGCCAGGGCTGTGGGACCCCGTCTCCGGGCACAAGGAGTTACTAGTGCGCGTTAATCTTTAAGATGCTGTCACGTGCACATCTTCTACCCAGCTTAGGTTTGGAGCCAGACCCAAACCTCCTTCCCCCCGTGGGTTTGCCTCTGCACAACCTGTGGCCGGCCGGGTAATCGAGCTTGGGCAGCTTCCCCTGGCAGCGGCACAGTGCTTTGTGAGCTCCCGACAGCGACGGCAGAAACGTTACCTGCGTTGCCGGGGATCCCCCTGAGGATGCCAGCCAGGCTCGGCAAAGCTCGGCGCTTCACCCTGTGGCGCTTCAGCATGGAGATGTATTTATTCTTTACGTGGTCTGGGATAACCAGATCCACCAAGTCTCTCTTATGGAGTTTAGGGACCTCAGAGAGCCCCAGCTGCTTCAGCAACACCTCCTTGAACCCTTCCTGAGTAAACGCTCGGACTGTGATGACCAGGCAGAGCACGCAGAGCATCCAGGTGAACCTCGCGTCCATCCTCCTCCGCTGGCGACGCAGCCGTCAGCCCGGCAGAGATGAAGGAGGGGTCTCCCCGGGGCTGCTCTCGGCAGAGATGCGGTGGCAGGCTGCCTGAGCGGGACGGAGGTCCCCTGCAACGGGGTTTTATAGCCAGCCTCATCCCACTGGCACAACAAATTCCACAAGTGGGGACGAAGCAGAGGACTTAAAAGGATCACTCCCCCGTCGGTAGACACATGCCAGTTTAACACCTTCATATACTGCAAAGTTAATACAAGAAGGTTTAGGGGAGCTTCCAGATTCCTTCATGGGGAAGAAGATTCTCTCCTTTTTTAATTCCCTGCAAACTTTTGCCCAGAAAACGCCTGAGTGATCAGTATCTCATGTTCAGCCTAGGTCAGGGAGGAAACACAGCTGCAGAGCGCACGGCTTTATGTACCACACCATATGATTCTTAAAGGAAGCGTCAATCTTTACCGCAGGGCACTTGCTACCTAAAATAGCCAGTATCAATCAGGAAAATAATGCTTTAGCTGGAAGTCCATCTTTATGGCAAGCATTAAAAAATCATTTAAAATCTTTTTTTGGGGGGGTAGGTACCGCTTTGATGTCTGAATATTTGTATCAAGAGTATGAATCACAACAGTGAATCACAGCAGTTGAACGGTTTATGGTCTTTTACGCTGCTTCTGTATCACAGAAGGTGGAAGATGTACAGGCAGGCCTGACATTTTAGAAAAATGTCCCATCACTCTTTATGGATTCCTATGGGTTTAATAATACTTGTGTTTAAAAGAAGAAGGCTTTATATAAAAGGCAGATCACCTTTCATGAACATGAGAAACCACTCTGCTTTTGCCTGACATGGATAAAGAATATTGGTACTTTGAACGATATCAGCAACCATGGCAGAGAGCTGTCTCTGGAGAGCGAAGCCAACATGGAGGCTGGGGGGGGCTGGATGTTTGCCTTGAAGTCAACCTTTACACTTGATGCTCACATCCTTTACTTCCCTGGCCTTTCCTGGCAGAAGATGAAGTCTATTTTTGAAACCAATTCCAGGAGATGTGAATCGAAAAAAATAATTGAGAGATTGATAAAAGCGTGAAGGAATATGGCACTTGGGGCAGATTCTCATCCTCTCCAGCAGTAACAAGTACAGAAGGGCCTGAGCATATATACAAATGTCTTCAGCATCAAAAAATCTTTGGATTTTATATGTCTCTGTGAAGGAGTCAAAACTGGTCTGGTTTCCAATGCCCAGGCTGAACAGTGTGGCCTGAGAAAAGTCTGACTGGAGGAGACGATGTAATGAACTTGTACGAAAGCACACCGCTGTGGTTCACTCCTCAATAAAACAAGTGTCAACTGAGGCAGCCTGTTTTGTACACAGAGGAAGGCAACAAAGCCATCTGAAAGAGCCTAATTAAACACTTCTGTTACTGCTCATTTTATCTTTATAACCCTTTAAGAAACTTGTCTCCTTAAACATGATAAAGCCTCCATTAGATGTTAAAGGAGCACCTTATTTAGTTAAATTGAGTTTTAAGGCTAAAAAGGAAACATAGACTGCAAAATAACAGTTTGTGCATGGCCCAAGGCAGTACATTCTTTAATCTTACCCTTTGTGTAGCGTCTTTCTCTGAACAAATCAATATTCTCTGTTATATTCATTCCCAAGCCACAAACAGCAGTGACAAATACCCACCTCATTTGACCATCTCAGCTTCAGCTCATGTCAAAAAGCCCTGCCCTTGCGAATAAGAGGAGGGAAGGGGTTTTTTACTAAAATATTTGTGACCGTCTCAACCCCTCAGGAAGGCTCCGCATGCCCGGCTCTTCCCTTCCAGGCTGCCTCCCAAGGTACACGGCACATCACCGATTCCCATGGGATGGGACAAAAGAAGTCACGTGATGAACCGTGGAAGGCTGCGGTCCCAAACAGCATCTAAGCAATGTTCAGGTGGCTGACGAAGTTTCCTTCAGATATGCTCTATAAATATTGGCTAGCTCAGTTCCAGCAGTGAATTTACTATGTTTATATAGTGAGAGTCATCTGGATAAAACTGCAGGTCACGCATTTGTAACAATCCCTCTTTCAACATGTCAGAAGACTTGATCCTGTAAAACTTTATTCATCCAATTTGTCTTTGCTCTGGAGAGTGGTCCTACTACGTAGTGAGGGGTCTTAAAAAAAAACATGATTACATGAAATGAAAACACCCAATTGTTCCATCAGCACCTGGCTTTCCTGGATCCAGATGTGACTTCTCCTGTGGCTGATGTCTAATCCACCAGGACTCCTCACTGTCCAATGTGTATTGGAAGGTGATTTATGGGCTTCACGCATAAAATAAAATTATTGACCAAGCACAGTTGAAGCTCAGCTAAGAAGAAAACAGAGGATGTGGATTGTAGGCTTTTCACAGGACAGTGACTATCTGGTCCAATTGGAGGATTTGCCATTCCCCCTTTGTCATGCAAACAAGAAAAAGTCAGGAATTTTATAATAGCTCTTTTTGTGTAATGTGTATTAGGACCTGCATGGCACATTCAAACGTCAAACAGATTTGAAGAGGCTACAGGGGATGTAATACAGGCAACTTGCAGTTTTAATAAAAGCTAGTACTTAGCGAAGAGAGAATCTCTATATTCAAGCTTTTAATTTAGTTACAAAAGGTTCTCTAAGACATTTTCTAGGCATATCTATGCAATGATTTTTGGTAAATAAATCCAATGGGCTAAAAGAGAAAGTGTGAAAGGCTTAGCCTAATTATGTAGCTATTGTCCTGGGAAACAAGAATCTTTCAAATGCATTTGCAGTGGGTCAGTGAGGATCCAAATATTTAATTTTTCAAGATTTGAATCTCCATGGACATCATTATTTTGTATCACAATTGGGCCCATATTAGAACAGCCTTTGCGTGAGTGATATGAAAGGCAACAACTTTTGTGTGCTCCAAGGAAAGCTCTGATTTGTGCAACAGGCTTATCGTACAGAGATGGGAGCACATCTCCATAGTGATGTTGCTCTGTTTTATACCAAAGTCAGGGTCTTTCGAATCTAGGAATGTGGAAATAAAAAGAATACTGGTTAAAATGCAGGTAAAACCTTGTCAAGTGAAAGAAGAATTCAAGCAGAAGTTCTGTTTCTTATTCTTTTTTCAGTGTTAAGCACACTGAGTTTTACACAGCTAACAAAAACCCACAGAATAGGCTGGTCACATGAAGTGCTCGCTTAGAGGTTTCAAAGGTGGAAGTGAGGACACACATGAAGGCATGCCCTCCTCGCGCTGCCTCACCAACACACCCCAACAGTCACCAGGCCAGGGCTTCAAACTTCATATTCCCACCGGGATTTTAAACCCAGGCTACACACTTTTAAGCAGGGTTTCACAGGCATCTTTGGCTTCCTTCTTGACTGGCACGGTCCATGCTGGTGGTGGGAGCCCCATTCCTCTGCAGGGACTGTCCCTGTGTCAAGCAAGTCCAGCGAGCAAGTGTGGAGCCCACCAAGCCCACCCCCAGCAAGCCGTCCTGCTGCCCACAGGCAGCAGCTCCAGGGATGATGCAAAATGGACAGTGGTAATTCCTTAGTAAGACTCTCTTATTCCTCAGAGGCAAAACCTTGAAAAATGTGAGAAATTCCTCCAGTACAAAGAGGAAGTAAGCAGTGCACAGGTTTATCATTGCATTTGTTTGCCACTTTAGCTCCAAACGCCACCAGCCTGGTCTAGAAATGCTCTGATTTGTACTATATTTATTCCTTGAAAATGGCGTGTCTGCTGAAAGATCCTTGGAAACTATCTTGCCAGGGTGGTGGCTTTCTGTCCTCTGCCTCTAGGAACAGCTACTCTCTCATTCATCTGGACAGGCTGGATCTACGGGCCGAGGTCAGTTGTATGACATTCATCAAGACCAAGTGCCGGGTCCTGCACTTATGTCACAACAACCCCATGCAATACAGGCTTGGGGAGGAGTGGCTGGAAAGCTGCCTGATGGAAAAGGACCTGGG